GTAGATCTATAGTTATAGATTTTTCTTTTATAAATAGTTAATCCTTGCATGAATTTTTATAAATTAATTATGAGTCCAAAATTCATGAAATTTATTGGAGGTGATACTAGTACCATATGGATGCTAAGAAAATATGAAATCTGTTGTTTGACACTTTTCAATAGGATTTTCCATTTATGCTATTTCAAGCCTTTTTGCCTTGTCATTTTGTATAGAATGTTCTACTTGGTAAAATGACATAAAATTTTTATAGTAGTCCTTTGATAGCATTATTAAGGCTCTGTAAATTTTTGAGAATTTATTCAGCCCATCTGATATATATTTATTATTTAACCTAGATATCTAAATAAAATAATAAAGGCAATTTAATAAATAGTTTGGGCTTTGCCATTTTATTATCTTAACTATGTTTGGTATGCTTAAACTGTTGGTAGGTTCTAGGTTGTCAATTTGTGGATGATTACATAAAGTAGAGGTGCTATTACTTTATATTGCATGATAAATCATTTTCGGACTGATTCTAGAGTATGAGGAGTTACATGTTGAAACTGATGTAGACTGTAAAATGGTTAATAACAAAGTTGTAGAAAATTTGATAAGCTTTCCGAGAAAGTCCAGGATCACTAGATTTGGAATTGTAGAACTCAGTTATGAGTGAAACAAGTGGATACTTATTTATGGCATAGTCGATGCTTGTAGAAGTAGTTAAGTAGTAAGCGAGAAGAAATATGCACCTACTCAAACAACGTGATGCACTTGTTAACATATATGCATTCATAATACTTATACCATATTCATGCATCTAGGATCGGAGGAAGAGATCACGTTCTTTGGAATTCGAAGAAGCGAGAGGAAGGAACCCGCGGGAGGATCCATAAGCCGCAGACTCGAAGGCGTGGAGCAGAAACCTGAAGAGCTTCCGAGTGCCACGACCACCGCCCCTACTTCTTTTCTGCGAGGCAAGCCCGAGCATTATAAGTCTCCCGATAATTTACAAATGTTTACTTACGTATTTATGATTGATGCATTAGGTTATAAGAGTTGAATGAAACCACTTGATGCATGTACATTCCTTGTCCAGATATTACACCTTTAACCCGGTATAGGTCCGAGGATCGAATATATATGCTTAGCCATGCTTAGACCGGTAGAAGTCGGGTGATGTCTGTCACTACGCGAGATATAGGTGGATACCGAGCACGGTTGGCTATATCTCGCTATCGTGGAATGAACCATGAGGTACAAGTAAATTGAGACCGGACGGGAGGTCGATAGGGAAGCAACAAGGCATGGAGGTCTTGGGTGTGGACTTATCCCCGTCTCGTGTCGATTAAGGACCATGACATCGTTGTTGGCGCTTCGACAAGATTGAACGCATGCCTCTCACTTAGTTGGCCGGATAACTCGTTCGAACTGGCCATGGCCGAGTAATTCAACTCAGCCGGGAATCGTTACATTGTGCGCTCCTTCCGGGGAACGATCGATCGAGCCCAAAGGCGGGTTTGGCTCGAGCATCCCGGCATCTGGTGTTCCAGTTATGCGGCGCAAAGATCTGAACCGCGAAATGTGTACCGGAGTTGTACCAAAGGTGACCTAAGACTATCGTGGTTTGGTAGATCTGGGTTTGTGTTAGGGAAGAAATTCCCGGTGGTTGAAATCGATTGAATCGCCGTCTCTCCCGGATAGTGAGAAACTTGGCTAGTCCCAACATCGTAGCGACTATATTATGAAACATGGTGGTTCGGATGAATATGGAATTACAATACCGCTATGGTTACTATTGGATGCTTCTAAATGATATCCCACATGTTTGGCACGGGATAGTTGCTAATCTAGAAATGGATAGTTATAATTAACTTGATAAAGGAATCATAATTGTACAACGGATCAATTGCCTTTTTTCGCAAAATGTTGTCAAGTTACGTCCACTTATCTGACCTTTGCATACTCCTTGGAGTCACTTTAATTACGGTTCATGACGGGTAAGTCTAGGTGAGTACCTTCTCGTACTCGGGGTTTATTTTCCCATTGTTGCAGATGGCAATTTGTGTATCATGGTTATTGCAAGAGTTGCTTCTATCCCATTGTGGATGAGGAATAAGCCTTGGGCGGGCTTCCTTAGTAATTCCTATCTTTGCTTTTGTGGATCGTGATGATGCGCACGGCATTTGTATCAAACTACGTTGGAAACTTATTTTCAAACTTATTTGCTTCCGCTTTAATTATCAAACTCGGTTTGTAATAACTTTCTATTCGTACTATGATGATGAAAGTATCTGTGAACTTTATGTAATATGTGGCATGTATGTTGAATCCTGTACGATCTTGGTTGTTGTAAATCGTTTTATCGAGACCCGTCGTGGTACTCGACGGACTACCGGGTTTATATGGGTTCAAGTATGACAGTGCGTCCGCTTGCGGATTGCCATTATACTTGTATTCTTATAAATTGGTCGGTTCTGCGACAGTGATCACCGGCACCAAGGATGCGGAGGTGGCGGCATTCAAGGAAGAGCTGAAGGCCACCTTTCAGATGAGTGACCTGGGGTCTCTCTCCTTCTACCTGGGAATCGAGGTGCACCAGGATGACTCCGGGATCACGCTTCGACAGACCGCCTACGCCAAGCGCGTCGTTGAGCTAGCTGGGCTCACCGACTGCAACCCAGCTCTCACTCCGATGGAGGAGAGGCTGAAGCTAAGCCGCGACAGCACGACGGAGGAGGTGGACGCTACGCAGTACCGGCGTCTTGTGGGGAGCCTTCGCTACCTCGCCCACACACGGCCGGACTTGGCATTCTCCGTCGGCTACGTTAGTCGGTTCATGCAGCGACCGACGACGGAGCACCAGCAGGCTGTGAAGAGGATCATCCGCTACGTTGCGGGGACTCTCGATCACGACCTCTACTACCCTAGGTGCCCTGGGGCGGTACACTTCGTCGGGTACAGCGACAGCGACCACGCCGGCGACATCGACACTAGCAAGAGCACGAGCGGGAACCTCTTCTTCCTTGGCAAGTACCTCGTTAGCTGGCAGTCGGTCAAGCAGCAGGTGGTGGCCCTGTCCAGCTGCGAGGCCGAGTACATAGCGGCCTCCACCGCTTCGACTCAGACGCTCTGGCTCGCTCGACTGCTTGGTGATCTCCTCGGCAGAGACTAGAGCGGTGGAGCTAAGGGTGGACAGCAAGTCCGCTCTGGCCCTGGCAAATAACCCCGTTTTTCATGAACGGAGTAAGCACATCCGGGTGAGGTACCACTTCATCCGAGGCTGTTTGGAGGACGGGAGCATCAAGGCGAGCTACATCAACACCAAGGATCAGCTTGCGGACCTGCTCACCAAACCCCTTGGGAGGATCAAGTTCCTTGAGCTCTGCTCCAGGACTGGGATGGTTCAACTTTCCCACAAGACGACGCACAAGACTTAGGGGGAGAATGATGAATAAGTCTCTGTGTAGGTCTTTGTGGGGCTGCAGCAGCATGGTGGTCTTGCTGCCCATAGGATAGCATCCTTGACTGGAGGATATCATCTTAGCATCTAGGATTAGCATCTAGGACAGCATCTAGGACAGCATCTTAAACTAGTATTTTGGCATATGCTTGGCTGGCTAGCAGCCTATAAATATGTATCCCCAACCCCTCAGGTTGGTATGGCATTTGTGTGAGAAATAAACCAGAAAATTGCCCCAACTCCTAGTGTCATCCTCTCTCGATGAGAGTAAGAATTCTGCTACTACCAAGAGTAAGAATTCAACGACTAACAATATGTTTTTACCTCTGTTAAAGCTGCTACCATTTCCATTCTGCAACAATCAATGCCCAGTTGACTTTTTCTTCATTACTTTTTCCCCTTAAGGCTTTTAGATTCCTACACCAGATCAGAACTCAAAATGTAAGTAATGAGGTGCCTGAGAACACCTCTGGTTTCTATTTCTGCTACTCCATTTGAAATTAAAAAGTGTGAGATAATGGATAATGGCAAAAGAAAAATCCAATGTAGAATGGGACATTGTCAAGCCACCTTCTCGATGGAAGTTTGGTACATGCCAAATCGGGTTTGTCAACTACAAGGCACATTGCTGCCAAAGAGTACTCCTAGAATGCAAGCTCATTGTTGGAATTTATTATAGATGTTGCTTCATCCACACAGTTAGCTGATCAGACAAAGGAGCTTTGGGAAGGTAGATGTTGGTAATTTAATATAACCAGCTTTCACAATATAAACGGTTGGGTCTGTATATATCTGAGCCACTGGTTCCTGCTTGTACTAGCAACCTAATTTATCTATCTTGGGACATGTAAAGCTTTTAAAAACTGAAGGTATATATGTTGCTCCGGGAAAAAGGTTGGGTGTGCAATAGCTTGTTGGTTTCGATAATTATCATTTCTAAATTAAGCGAGCATGTTGTTCAAGTTGCTGCAATATGAAATGGCAGTGGACTATTAGTTTCGTCATTGTATAAAGAAAGGGGTACATGTAGCAGGTCCAGAACCATGGTCCCCACTCCAGACCTCCAAAAGGAGAACAATTGAGGATTCCAGATGATGCCAATCTTACTTCTATCTAAGATTTAAAGTTTAGCAGCACCTCTTTCATCGATTCCATTACCTGAAGAAACAAGTAAGTAGCAACCTAGAAGCCAATTTCAGCTTACTCTTGTTGCAGTTTGTTCTGTCTGCTTTCTCTCTTATGATCTCTTTCTTTGATGTTCTATTTCCTTGTATTCTTCGTTGCATTTATTAACCCTTTTCATAAACTACTTTATTAGGTGTGTCTTGCTCTAATCAGTTATCTGATACTTCTTTCCTTTTATCTCTTATCTTTACTTTTAAGGAGTGGTTTAACTCCGCAATTCATGCTAGATGTCTTTTGTCAGTCCTTTGCAGTTTGTGTCTCTATTACATCATGATTACAATCTTTAGTTTGCCTGCAGCCACTTGTTTTTTCTCTCCTATTGTTTTCTTCACATGATTCATGAAATAAATCTCTGCACTTGGCGAAGGATATGACTGAAGCTTCACTTGAACAGATTAAACTGATGGGTACTGCATGCAGCCATACATCAACCATGAATCGGCTTCACAGTGGAAGAGTTCCCCCATGTCGTTCATCAGCTATAACATTAGTACCAGCATTCTCAGAGGTGTCATTTCCTAGTTTTCCAGAGCAGAGATTATCTTTTGTTGAAAGGGAACTGCCTATTAGTTCTGTCACCTCATTTGATACTTCTATGGCTGCACATGACACCATGTCAACACATATGTTAGCTTCCAATTTCACCAACGAATCACCTAATAGGCAGCTTTGTTCTGGATCATATGTTACTGAGCCATGTGATCCTGATACTCCATTGCTACCATCGCATTCATCATTAATGGGTAATTCAAGGCCTTTGGTGATGGACATTCCAGAAATATCTGAACAGATATGTTCGAACCAAGAACAACTCCTAGGTTTATTTGATTATCCAACAAGTGTCGATTTTTCCAAATCAAAAAATGTGACCATCTTTGGCCAGCAAGTTCAAGACACCATTACAGTCGATCCTAACACTCACCTTACACCACAAAATGAGTGGTTCTCGTCTGGGAGTTCCATGCAGCTTCAGAAGAATGTAGGTTCTGCTGAATCTGTGCTGAAGGTATCTGGATATATGTTTTGGCCATGCCATAGCCTAACTATTTCATGACTTCCTCTTCTCCTTTGTTTTATTTTGTATTTATACTACCTGTAAAACAATATGATATGATCTTTATCAGTGAACTTAATTTTGAAAATTAAAGTAGTGGACTTCATCTTGCAATGCTGAATGCAGTTAAAGACTTAAAAGTTATTCCTTGTTTGTAGACAGTTGATTCAAGAAGTGCAACACCTCAAAGTTACTTATACGGCCATACTCAGAGGAGTGTACCAGATCGTTCCAACTGTGATAAACTTGGCGCTGACAGCCTCCCTTCTTCAAACACTGCTCCAAAGCCAAGGATGCGCTGGACACCTGAGCTTCATGAGCGTTTTGTTGATGCTGTTAACAAGCTCGGTGGGAGCGAAAGTAGGATACTGATGTTTTTTTTTTCTCTATGATCTGTTTTACATTTATTTTACTTGGATACTGAAGTGCAAACCTCAATTTTTTCAGTCACATTGCTAGTTGTCTTACCCTTGTCAGCAGATAATTTCATTCCTTTTCTTTGTTCCTGCAGAAGCAACTCCAAAAGCAGTCCAGAAGGTTATGAAGGTCGAAGGATTAACTATATACCATGTAAAAAGCCATCTGCAGGTATCAATCTTGATTTGCTCCTAAGTTTTCAGTGCCTTTTCTTTATCATGCTTCTCTTTTTATTGACATTCATGTGTTATTGTTCTACAGAAGTACCGTACAGTTCAACATCGTTCTGAATCATCAGGTGGTCTGTCCGTCTCTCTTTGTTGTAATACCAGTTTAAAGGCACCCTGCATCATATGATAATGCCTTTTGTATAGGAGCATATAGGCAGTCAAATTATTATTTGTAAAATTGAATAAAGTTATAATCTAGTGCTTCTTTCCCCTTCCTAGCAGGTGTGTCTGGAAGGAGAGGCAGCCAAGCAGATGATGACTCCATTCCGCAATCAAAGTGAGATGATTTTTAGGAGTACTTGACATCAAGTCTTTCCTAATTCCTACTGTTACATAATCCATATCTTGTGCCCAATTTTGTAAACAGCGATGCATAACATTTCACCTATTTACCTGACTGACTGAGGTTTTAGTTACCGCCTGTCCACCTATTAGGTCCAAATATATGTTTTTCTTTCTTTAAGTGCATGAACTTGTAGTGAAGTTTTTTTTTAAGAGGAAGTTCAGATTTATAATTCTATGGCTACTGCAGAGGCAAAGGGAACGTTGAAGGACTAATGGCACAGATTGGCATGCAGAAACAACTTCACGAACAACTTGAGGTATGTTCTTTTAAAAGAACATATGGAGTATATGCTGATTGAAAGGAAAATGGAACTGCTACGAGAAAGAGAAGACATGCAGCCTCGTGCAGTCCTGCACCCACTTATTACATTTTCCTTTACACAGATCCAAAGAAAGCTGCAGCTGCAAGTCGAGGAACACAGCAAGTACCTTGAAACGGTAATTGCGAAGCAAAACGAGAGCCTTAAAAGGCTTGGAGCGCTGCGAGGTTTCCGAGATCAAGTGCGGCGGATTTTGCAAGACAGCGAAGCGCCTGAAGAATGGACACATTCTGCACAACAGAGATAGTGAGAAATGGAATGGTCACCTCCCAAATCATTGCTGCGGCAGGCGACAATCAGAGCCTAATTCTTTTTCAGATAAGAGTTACAGCAACTTATCGGTTTATTGCGGATATTACTCTGGAACTACGTTTGTGTCAGTGAGACTCCAATTCATGGTTCATCGATTCAGAGTCAACACAGCGTTGACCTGTTTTACTCTGGCATCACAAACTTAGTGATGCATGCTTCTCACATCATCTTATTGTCGCACATTGAGTACTGTCAAGAACATAGCAAAGACCAGAGTACATGACATAGTGGTGTGGTAGGATTGTTTCTTTTGGTACAAATAGAGGATGATCCAACACGGAGCCAACTGTTATTTTCACACATGGACATGTCATCTTCCAAGAAACAAACAAAGGCACACTGCAGCAGAGCTGGTATGTTCTAGTGAATATGGCATTTCAGGCTGCCTGGGGACTCCTCATGTACGGCTGAAGAAACTGCAGCCAGACAGGAGAAGGCAGCGCCATTGTCTTCTTGATCTCGTCGGCGTTGTACAGGTTGCTGCGCCGCAGCCCTTCCAGCATCTGGTTTTGCCATGGACAGAGCACCTCGTATCAGTAATGGTTCATGGTAGCAGAGTTGGAGTTAGAAACAGCTTACTTTGGTGATGACGGAGAGGTCCGGCGGGCAGGCGCCGCCGTGGAACGTCGCCGGCGCAGGCGCAGGCGCCGCCTCCTCGAGGTCGTGGACGACCACGATCTCAGTCGCCTGGGCTTCCACCTCGCCACCGGCGGCGGCCTCTTCGGCGAGGCCGGCGTAAGGCAGGCCGGAGTGGCACGCCGCGCAGTCGTGCTGCATGAACACCTTGTGCCCGCCACGCGCCCTGCTCGAAGCACACGCAGCCAGCAAACTGACACTGAGGAAGGAAACGACGGTGGGGTGGAGTGGAGCGGAGGTAGGGCTGCCGGTGCGCGCGCGCTTACCCGTCCTGTGGTGACCACGGGTAGGCCGGGCAGGCGCCGCCGTCGGACGCCGACGCGACGGTGGCGGCACTGAGGAAGCCCGTTGCCACCCCCACGGCCGTGCCGCAGAGCCGGCGGGTGCCCGTGATTCCCTGCGGCCGCAGGAGCTCACGCACGAGGCCCATCGCAACGCCGGATTCGCAGTCGCGACACGAACTCCAGTGGCTGGCTGGTCTCAGGCTCTCAGCGGTGAAGTGGTGGTGAGTGCCGCCTGTGGTTGGTGGAGCTCGACGATTTGTAATCCCCTCCACTGCCAGTGCTCTGCGGATAAGAGGGCCCGTGGGCCGTGGGACTGGGGCCTGCCATGTGGGGCCATGTGGGAGCTGCTGGCTGGCTGGGACTGGGAGTTCGGACTGGAGCGGAGCGACGTTGACTTCCGTCTCCGACCACCACGCTTACCGTTCAAGTAATGTAGAGCCAAGTAGAATGGGTGGTACGACGCCTTTGTTTGTTAGAATCGTCGTTGAGACCACCCAGGCCAATGGACCAATACTTGGGAGATCACCTTGCCTGCTCGAGGACGAGGACACAGACGATAGGCAATGGTCCTGCACTCCTGCACTTGCAAGTGAAGTCAGGTTAAAGTATGACGGTGCTAACCTGCATATCCATGCACACCGCTGGTTTGAGTTCAGAGACATGGGGAAAATGGATGGACTGAGCTGCAAGGAAGCAACTGCAGGCAATTCATCGTAAGCTACGCCGTTGATCTTTCTGGTGAGCGAAAAGGCAACACGTACAGAAACGTTGTCACTGACACCATGGGCTGGCACTGGGTTGCATGCTCCTTCCTGTCACAGGCCTTGTTGGGCCGTTACCCTTACGCAGCAACCCAGTCCTTCCTGTCACAGGCCTCGTTGGGCCGTTACCCTTACGCAGCAACCCAGTCGGCTCCCCTCCCCGTGTGTTCTGATTGGGCCTGGTGACACGATCTCGCTTCTACACTGCGGCATTCCGCACGCACAGCAGGGGTGTCGTACCGTCGTTCCCTCCCGCAAACCGTCCACAGCACGAGCACCATTCCTCTGCCTATTCGTGCAGGCTATACAGACGACTCTGCAGTCTGCTGCTGCCTTCACGTTCACGCTGGTGGTTTTTGAATTTGGCTGGTTTTTTACTGCCACTGCATGCGGTATCCGCTAGCTCCTGACCTCAACGGCAGGAGAGTTCACCGCAGGTACAGTACAATGGGCCGCCCACAGACAAGCGAATACTCCTCCGGCGGTAGTAGTGGTCCAGTCCAGTCAGGCTCAGGCGGTCAGCCGCGCGCCGCTCCACCTCCACGGCGGCCGGACCCGGACACCGACCACGCAAGGGCCGCTGGTAGTTGCTCGTCGGCATTTACACGCCGTGGCCGGCCCATGCTGACTACTGTGACCACACACCGCTCGCCGTGCAAACCTAGCTAGTACTCGTACGGGAACATTACTCCTGTGCGGTCCTGGCAGTGACCGCAGCAGCCGCTGCCTACTACACTGCTCCCTCCGTTCTAAAAAAAAGTTATTCTTCTTCTCGAAAAACTATATAATTAGTATCATTATTTTTATAATAAACTTATTTGAAGAAAGTAGTGGTACTGATATTTTTTATAAATCTAATTAAATTTATGAAAGTTTGAAAAACACTTAATGGGACGGATGGAGGAGTGGTCTAGCGCCTACTGCTGGAGTACCACGCTCTGCATCCCCACATGTCCAATGTGCGGTGGTAGTAGTTAAAAAAAATAGGAAATCTGCACCAGCTAGCTCTAAGCTTTCTTATTCAGGGCCTGTTTAGTTCCTAAAAATTTTTGCGTAGTACCCGTTACATCGAATCTTACGGCACATGCAATGGAGTACTAAATGTAGACGAAAAAAAACTAATTATACAGTTGGGTGAGAAATCACGAGACGAAACTTTCAAACCTAATTAGTCTATAATTATACATTAATTGTCAAATACAAACAAAAATACTACGGTAGCTTAAAAACCTAAAAATTTTTGCATATAAACGCGCCCTCACCGAAAGATGCCTACAATCGTTCTAGCAGCTACTAGCTAGCATATAGGCATAGCAACGTGGCCACCGTGGACGTGCATGCCAAAGTCTATTGGCTTTGAATTGTAGGAGTACATGCACACAGCTACCAACTGTACCGATTGAGTCTTTTTTCAAGTCGTTGCACCACCTATGCATGCACCAGATCAATTCCTCGTCCTTTTCGTCCCTGGAAAAAAGTTGTACTTGTACGCCTGTAGTAGTACTATGTAACAAATACGTCGTCTACGGAGCAGGAGTAGTACGTAGCAATGCAATGCAACTGTCCAAATCGTGCACGAAAGTACTCCGCTGCTCCTGTCCTGTCCTAGGTGAAACGCGTAACAAAGGAAAAAAAAAATGCTACAGTAGCCATCACATCAAATTTTGCGATACGTGAATGGAGCATTAAATATAGACGAAAAAACTAATTGCACAGTTTGGTTGGAAAATCGCGAGACAAACGTTTTGAGCCTAATTAGTCCATGATTGAACACTAATTATCAAATAAAAACGAAAATACTACAGTAGCCAAATTCCTAAATTTCAACCAACTAAACACAGCTAAAATTGAAGTGGTTGGACACCACCACTGTCCTGGAACCGGAGTGTCGAAGCCCAAATTTATGGCTCCGCCTGCCGTACTACATAAAAAATGGCTCCTTCTAATTGGTTCAATGCTAGAAGCGCTTCATCAGTCAGCACTATTTGGTGTGACTACTGAAGGAGCCGGAGTCGAAGCCATGCATGAGCCGCCCCCAAATAGGCCTAGGCCTAAGTACCTCAATCCAACAGCTCGGTAATACAACTTCCTTCATAATAAAGTAATAATAGGGATGGTCTAATGTCATTTTTAAATTATTCGGGAAGATGATGCAGCAGATCATCAAATAACCTTTCTCAATAGGTATGACCTACCTGTCATATTACTATCTATCTTCTCTCTCTCAATATGTAAAACCTCTCTAGTTGCTAGTTTTGCTCTCAGGTCCTCTTGTTAGATTAAGCTTGAGTAGTGATTATTAGAGCCATCTTATTGTCTAACAAATTTTTTTCAGTCTTGTGCCTTGTATAATTTTTAATAAGCTATTAACCCACCCTCTGGGCTCTCTAGTTATCAATCGATCCTTTCAAACCTAATTAAATATTTGGGCAATTTATAAGATAAAAGGTTAAAATTCAAAATCTAAAATCATGACGTCACGAGAAATGGTTTGAAACAAGAATCATCATAACTTAAACTATAGGTATGGACGCAAAAAGATATTTAGATAAACTTATATGTGCATCATAGCCCGGTAGATATTACATAGTATCTATAAATATGTCGTGTTATAAAATTAACCAAAAATTGCAAAGATAAGTAATTTATTTGCAGGTAATTAAGTAAGAACTTCGAATTCTTTACGCCTAATAAGGTTCTAGTAATTGCAGGTGTACATATTAATGGACTAGTTATATGCACAGATGCAAACAAAGATGAATAGAAGGTACATGTACACGGACACCTGGCAGCATGAAAAAGATGCGATTTGTGTGAACCATGTGAACTGTGATAGTTACATAGGATCGGCTAGTTGTAGATTAGCCGGGTCTAACTGACATTTGGGATAAATAGTGAACCCTAGAACATATACTAGTAATGGAAAAACAGAGAGAGAGATAGAGAGGGGTGCGGAGATGCAAACCATCGGCCGCCTTCGACGAAGACGAGCTGGCCATCGCAGGTGCGCGGTGGAGGTGCGGTGTGACTCAGTGAAGGCGCGACGGTGACGCGGTGGAGGCGCAGTCGCAAGGCGGTGGCGCAGAGGAGGGGTGAAGCCGGTGGCGGTGCTTCTCGTCGCTGGCAGCTCCCCTTCTCTAGATCGGTTAGGGTTTGGGATGTAGGTGGGGTGTCTGGCGGCTCAGGTGAACCTCGTGCCTTGCGCTCCAGCCCCCAGCCCCACCTCCCTTTTTATAGCGTTGTGCGACGGGGGC